TGCCTTTGTGGACTATTTGAAGCTTTTGAAGCGAAACATGATATTATAAACTTCAACACTCGCTATTTGTAAACCAGAGTTCATTACGAGGTAGCACACATAGAGGAAAGCCAGCCGTAGGACATCGCTCAAATCTGAGCTCCGTAAACATTGCCATGATAAGCTAAGAATTCTCCGCTGGATCCGTTCCCTTTTTGGCACTGATCTCAAGACAGGAATCACAGTTAACGGGTCTGAACACCAGCAGTTTCTACACAATCATGGGAGACTGCAGAAAGAACGCAGGAAGACAAAACTCATGGATATGGTAGACACATATAGCTCTGTATTTCATTTGATTTGATTTTTTTAAGGGAAGAGTTATATAAGCCTGTACAGACAAAAAGCTTTAAGACATGGGACAGGATTGGTGCAATGAGGATTGTTTTATAGATTATACACTTTGTAATTAGTTAATGTCAGTTAATGCATTAGCAATACATTTTTATTTATTCGTATTTATTCATTTTTTATGTTAATAAAATACAACTGCTTATTGTTAGTTCAAGTAAGCTTATGTCCATTAAATAATATTAACAGATACAACATTTTATTTTAATCATGTGTTAACTTAATAAGTGTTCAAATTTACGTTTTTACATTAATAAATGCTTTAGAAGTATTTGAATTTTTAGTTAACAAATAAAACCATAAAGTGTTACCATTTTGTTAATATTTAGATTTATTTTTAGATTTCATTTTTAATCTTTTCTTTTAAAAAAAGTAGTTTTTATGTGCTTTTGTTCTTTTTATTAGTTTTTAAATTCATATTTAATTAAAAAAAATATAGCTATTTTTGTTAAATGTATTTTTATTTGAGTTTTATTTTCCAGTTAGTCATTTTAGTGCTTCAGCTTAAACTTCAGTTTCATTTAGCTGCCAATGCAATTTCGAAATTTTTGTTTACTTTACATAAATGAACACTTATATTATTTATATTATATAAAATGCTTTAACGTCATAGTCAATCATTGTCACCAACGCAGCATGCTAGATTCATCGGAAGATGGAGAAGGCCACATAGCAGCTGGAAATACAGCCATTATTTTAATTTTGTAGGAAGAAAGGATGACATAAACATCAATGTCATATGTAAATAGTGTACTAAGACTTTGTCTACTGTGAAACCCAACATGTTTGGTTGGTTGTACCTGCTTGAGCCCTGCTGCATATTTTATGTTGCTGCTTTATTAAGTAACAGAAATATGGTGGCTTGTCATACCAGTTTGAGCCAAATGTACTCTTCATTTATCTGTAACTTTCATGGATTCAGAGGCTGCAAAAATTACACTCTAAAAAATGCTGGGTTAAATATACTTTTTAATTTACACTAAAATATCTGAGTTTCTTCAAATAAGTAACTCTAGTTACTTTGTTTTCCCATTCATTGACTGACAGCTCTCCTGTCCCCGTGTTGAGAGAAATCAGGAGTAAGTGCAGAGGCGCTGTGTGAACATGATGTTACTGTAGTTCTAGACTAAATGTGAACATGCATTTACTCATCTCACTTGCACAAAAACAGATTCAGTATTCCTCAAGATGAATGAAAACAAATAACACAAATATCTTTTATGCATTTAATCCCATTTTATTAATCAATATCTTTACTGCCGACCTTCGATGATCCAATTCAGCCATATTAATAAGCAAAAGTGACTTAAAATAAACATCTTTTTGTTTCATTGCTGAAGAGTGTTGAACTTTCTTCTCCTGCATTCTATGCTTCATGCAATCCTGAATTTATATTAAAAACAAATTAGCAAGCCCAGCCCAGATGAGAAAAAGTAACGCAAAAGTAACGTAACGCAATACTTTCCATAAAAAGTAGCTAAGTAACGCAATTAGTAACTCTTTTAGGGAGTAACGCAATATTGTAATGCATTACTTTTAAAAGTAACGTCCCCCAACACTGTGAGTAGATTACATTTTTTTGAGTAACTAGCCCAACGCTGATTATGACTATAATGTATTATATGTTTGAAAATCAATATCATAGACATTTGACAGGGCTGGTCATGTGATTTCAACATGACCGCACCCATGAGGGGTTAACCTGTTTAATGTAAAATAAAATGCTTTTTCTGGAAGACTAATATGTTTGGAGTCTTAAATAGGTGCACAACATTAATAATCCCTATAGTGAAAAATACTTTAAATATCTTGCATATATTATTCAACGATCATACAATCCTCATCAATAGTGATATTAAAACACATTTTAGGCTTAATATTAAGAAATGTGCATTGTTCACAAGTAGCCTATAGGCTACTCCAGATAAAGTTTAATTAGCCTATAATTTTATATCAGTAAGTCTCAAGTGATATGTCAGGCAATATGTTAATAGATTTTAACTATAGCCTACTTAGTATGAACCAACTGTATTTTAAAGATATAACTGTTTTACTAGGGATGGCATGGCCCCAAAGTGCTATTCAAAAAATACATAAATAGGCCTAAATAAACAGCTTTAAACGTCAGATATGCAGTGTTGGGGAAAGTTACTTTTAAAAGTTATGCATTACAATATTGCGTTACTCCATAAAAAAGTAACTAATTACATTACTTAGTTACTATTTATGGAAAATAATGTGTTACGTTACTTTTGCGTTACTTTTTAAATCTGGACAGGGCTTGCTTGTTTGTTTTTAAAATAAAATTTTTTTTGGCAAATATAAAAGCCTTTTCACACCAAAAGTGAAATGAATAACCCTCAGGCTGAAGGTAAAGTAAATGTACATCCATACAGTAGAATGCAGAAGATGAAATTTCAACACACTTCAGCAATAAAAAAAACACACATATGTTTGTCTAGAGTAATTTGTGCTTATTAGTATGGTTGAACTGGATCACCGAAGGTCAGAAGCACAGACATTGGTTAATAGAATGGGATTAAATACATAAAGGATATTTGTGTTGTTTAACAGCATACCCACAGTTCATGCCCGTTATGAGCGGCTGGTTTTGATTCATTTGATTCTTTATGATAAATTAATTGAACTAGATGTTGGAATGTGGCTTTGGTAACTGATCAGGAAAACATGCACTTTCTTGCAAATCTACTTTTATAGCCTATGTTAAATGTAGCGTACCTTTAAAAAGTGAATCAACTAGGATGACCTTTTTATGAAGCAATGAAATCCAAAGTTCACAAATGACTAGATCAATGGACTGTAGTGAAAACTGCTACAGTAACATTTTAGTTCAGCAGCATTGATCTGTCCTTGTCCTATTTAGTTACTCTGATTTGTCAATGTCCTTTTTTTAACTGAAAATTAAAATGTACTTTGCATTACAGGGTATTGGAGGAGGCCTGTTAACTAGTATTCATTGTGCCACTGTGCTTTTTTAGATTAGTTTAGATTAGGTAGTTGTTCGGTAGATAACAATTAGATTACTAATCAAAGATAAAAACAAATAATAAAGGGAGTAAAGACAAGAGTAAAGCAGACAGAGCCAGCTGCTGTATATTTTCACACAAAACCACTGAGGTTGTGTTTGCATTGGTAGTATTTTCCATAAAGGACTCACTCTGCCAGACGGTCATGCTGAGTGCTTTGAGTAAAAATAGGATATGTTCAGATGATGAAATGAGTATATTTGTAGTAATGATTTACGCCTTGGCAGCCCCTTTTTTTCTTTAGACCGCATGAGATGAGAGAAAAAAGTGGAGGTCATTGGGTGAAAAGGAAAAATGAGGCCTTATCTTGAATGTTTGTTCACCTAGTTAGTTAAGTTATACAGTAGTGTAGCCTATAGCTGATCAAGCTGTAGTTTCAGTGGAATGAGAGAAATATTTTAAGAAACACCTTTTGAACCATTTTTTTCAGGTTAAAAGAACAAATGTTCAGTCAGTGTGACTGATGTTCAAATCACTTATTTTAATGACATCATATGAATGTGCATTGGACGGCTGCAAAGACCAAGTGCTATTAAGATCAGACAGATCAACTTTTCTGCCCACATGAAGGAAAGCCGACAGTCCCGCAGAGGGAAAGAAGAGAAAAACCCTAAACATGTTTCCAATCTGGGATGTGGGCACTGTACTGGATGTCTGTAATAGACAGAGATGTTTCCCCCAGGAATGCATTCACACACACGGGATCTATTAGACTGCGGTTTACGAGTTGACGTGCGCATCTCCTCTCAAACAATGCACAGACATAATTGCATTGTTTGCATCCACTAAAAACTGCTGCAAGAATTATGAGTGTTTTGGTTTATTGATGTTTGTCATGTCAAGAGGCAGCAGCAGCCCTGCTAAATGTCAGTGTATTAGTTGGTTATGTTTCTTAGCACATTACACGACATATGCCACCAACCATACCCATTTCTCAGAAGATGTTGGAAAAAATTATGTTTGAGGACAATGTTCCCAAAATACACTTTGGACAATAGATCTTTATACGGACACATGTGATTCTATGTTTCACCAATACTTACTAAATATACTAAATATTAATACTTTGAAAATGTTATAACAATGCTATGTAATAGTATATACACTACCAGTCTAATAATTTTATAATTGAGTAACTACTAATAATTTATTTTTTAATTTATATTATTTTTTAGTTTTTATGGGTTTTTTAATGTTTTTGAAGGAAATCTCTTATGCTTACTCTACTGCTTACTGTTTTTACTTTATTTTAATCAAATAAATGCAGCCTTGGTGAGCATAAGAGACTACTTTCAAAAACATTAAAACATCTTAATTATTCCAAACTTTTGACTGGCAGTGTTATTATATTATTTAATATTATATATCATGTAAAACAAAGACATAAATAATAACATAAAAATAGACAATAAATATAAGATTCTATACACTATTTCTAGGTCACTAAAAAATTGTGTTACTGATCATGTGAACTTCTCTGTACAAAAGGTCAGAAATACTAAGCAAAAGGAGGACAAACCTGAAATTCATATAATTTTTTACTTCAAATAATTCTAATTTAAGACAAATTGTTATGTTGATAATATCATTTGTACTGCAAATATGTATTCGATTAGAAACATATTTTCACTAGTGGTCTTAGACTTTTGGACTTTTGGTCTGCTTTGATCGTGATCTGTGTTACACATCCACCTGTTTCACTCTCTCATACAGGACCTTTGTTGATTTTACAGGAACCCCTTCAAACTGGGACGCCTGAGTGGAATAAGCCAACAGAGGGGGATTCGGGGGGAAGGAAGAGAAGAGGGATTAGGGGTTTATCCTGGACATGACCAATCCTTAAGGAGCCTCCGTCAAGCTGTACTATTGCCCAGATTATTACATTTAATTTATTGCCTTTTAAAGACCCTTTATCTCCGCCGGGAGATTCCTGGCGAGTGGGCCGCTGGATTTGAGTATCTTTAAAAACAAAGGATCAGGAGCAGAGGCCGGTGGGACTGGAGGAGCATGAGAAGATACATGCAGGGATAAAGCAACAAGCCTCCCTGCCGCCTTATACACTTCAGCAGGGTGCAGGTCAAGGGTCACTGAATAAACTTGGATTTGGAAAGCATGCAATCACATTGATTACACAAATCTGATTAAGGTATGTGGCTTCTTTACATTTTCAGCAGTGTAATATTAAACATTTTAGTGTTTTTTCCTAGGTCCAAACAGCAGAATGTGTATGATTTATGACCTGACAGTAATCAGGTAAAGGGTTTGGCTAAATAAATTGTGCTTATCACACATGGTAAGTATTTACTAGTAATTTAGCATGAAATGGGCAACAAGTGTGTTGTGGCAAAGTGTGTTGTGGTTTGATGGAATGAGACATGAGACGTCACTCCTTTTAAAATGATACTCATGACTTTAACTACAGTCAAGCACAAATTAAAAGTCTGAGCTGACCCAAGATCAAACAAACTACTAATAAAGTCAGACTAAGTGTTGTTATGCTAATTTTTATTAGCTTAACTGTTCGTTACTAATAGTTTACCAAATATTTTTTTCTATTAATTGAATGTTTTTGATATGGTGTTATAACAATGCTATGTAATATTATATACACTACCAGTCTAATAATTTTATAATTGAGTAACTACTAATAATTTATTTTTTAATTTATATTATTTTTTAGTTTTTATGGGTTTTTTAATGTTTTTGAAGGAAATCTCTTATGCTTACTCTACTGCTCACTGTTTTTACTTTATTTTAATCAAATAAATGCAGCCTTGGTGAGCATAAGAGACTACTTTCAAAAACATTAAAACATCTTAATTATTCCAAACTTTTGACTGGCAGTGTTATTATATTATTTAATATTATATATCATGTAAAACAAAGACATAAATAATAACATAAAAATAGACAATAAATATAAGATTCTATACACTATTTCTAGGTCACTAAAAAATTGTGTTACTGATCATGTGAACTTCTCTGTACAAAAGGTCAGAAATACTAAGCAAAAGGAGGACAAACCTGAAATTCATATAATTTTTTACTTCAAATAATTCTAATTTAAGACAAATTGTTATGTTGATAATATCATTTGTACTGCAAATATGTATTCGATTAGAAACATATTTTCACTAGTGGTCTTAGACTTTTGGACTTTTGGTCTGCTTTGATCGTGATCTGTGTTACACATCCACCTGTTTCACTCTCTCATACAGGACCTTTGTTGATTTTACAGGAACCCCTTCAAACTGGGACGCCTGAGTGGAATAAGCCAACAGAGGGGGATTCGGGGGGAAGGAAGAGAAGAGGGATTAGGGGTTTATCCTGGACATGACCAATCCTTAAGGAGCCTCCGTCAAGCTGTACTATTGCCCAGATTATTACATTTAATTTATTGCCTTTTAAAGACCCTTTATCTCCGCCGGGAGATTCCTGGCGAGTGGGCCGCTGGATTTGAGTATCTTTAAAAACAAAGGATCAGGAGCAGAGGCCGGTGGGACTGGAGGAGCATGAGAAGATACATGCAGGGATAAAGCAACAAGCCTCCCTGCCGCCTTATACACTTCAGCAGGGTGCAGGTCAAGGGTCACTGAATAAACTTGGATTTGGAAAGCATGCAATCACATTGATTACACAAATCTGATTAAGGTATGTGGCTTCTTTACATTTTCAGCAGTGTAATATTAAACATTTTAGTGTTTTTTCCTAGGTCCAAACAGCAGAATGTGTATGATTTATGACCTGACAGTAATCAGGTAAAGGGTTTGGCTAAATAAATTGTGCTTATCACACATGGTAAGTATTTACTAGTAATTTAGCATGAAATGGGCAACAAGTGTGTTGTGGCAAAGTGTGTTGTGGTTTGATGGAATGAGACATGAGACGTCACTCCTTTTAAAATGATACTCATGACTTTAACTACAGTCAAGCACAAATTAAAAGTCTGAGCTGACCCAAGATCAAACAAACTACTAATAAAGTCAGACTAAGTGTTGTTATGCTAATTTTTATTAGCTTAACTGTTCGTTACTAATAGTTTACCAAATATTTTTTTCTATTAATTGAATGTTTTTGATATGGAAAAAAATTATTAAAAAATTATTAAGAAAACGTATTTTAATAAATAATAGGGCTACTTTTTTCAAACTTACTGTCATTGTAAAATGTAGCCTTAGCGCTTCTTTGCATTTACAGTCTGACAGTGGAAAAATTATCTGGTAAATGCACATACTTTGGTAACAGGATACCCTTAAAGTGAATGACCGAAATACCGTACAGTGCAAGTGAATGACTGAGGAGTCAAAGCTGAATTTAGCCATTTAAAGGGAACTACACTCAATAATTCAATACAAGACTCATTAAAAATGTATGAATCAAATTTGCTCAGTTTAAAAATATATATACATTTTTACAGCAAAAGTTGATCATTAGTGTAGCATGTCTGTGCCTATGTCTCACTTTCTTTTTAGCAACTGAATTGTTTACAGATATTTTGTTAATATTTGCATCTTCCAGAGCATGTAGCAGCAGTCTCTCTGGACCTTACTAAAGAAAGAGCACATGGTTTCAGTCCTAAACCACAAAGATATCTGCAGCCCGAGCTGAATTTATTTCTGAACTGATTTTTTTTTTTCAGAAGCACAAACCCAGAACAACTGGGAAGCCCAGAATCTTTGACCACATAAGCAGCAGAGGTTTTCAGGAATTGGAGTCATGCATATTTTCAGCTCACATTTATCTTCACAGAATCTTTCTGGATATGAACAAAGACCGATGGCCAAAATGGGACATAGCTGAATGCGTCTGCCTTTTGAGAAACTGTGCAAAAGAAACTTTCCACTCAACTGCGGTTGTTATTCTGCCGAGATATTTTAAAGCTTGAAGGGTGATACGTGTATAGTTTGCTTTCTTACGGTGTTCTCACCATTTTTTTAAAAACAATTTTTTGTGGATATTTTCTTTCTGATTCTGGAAATTTACAGTTTGTACCCAGAGAAGCCATGAACTTGGGCAAGCTCGCTGGCCTGAAGGGCCTGGTTTCCCACTCCTCAGGAAAGCGTAGATTTAAAGGTGACCTCACCCCGGACATGATCAGCCCCCCACTAAGTGATTTCCGCCACACCATGCACGTGGGCCGTGGAGGGGACGTGTTTGGGGACACCTCGTTCCTCAGCAACCATGGTGGAGCAGGAAATAACGCAGATGGAGACTCCTCCTCCACTTCAGAGAAGAATGAGGGATTCTTCTCCCGCACGCTTCGCCATGTCCGCAAGACCCCCGACAGGCCCCGCGGCAGCTCCAAGGACCTTTCGCCTCCACCTCCACCCATTTCTCCAATCATTAAGAATGCCATTTCCCTCCCCCGGCTGGACGTGGACTCACCCAACGGCTGTCCTGTGAAAGTGCTTTTCCCTAGTCCACCCAAAACACCAGAGAACTCCACATACTTGTATGGTGAGTCCGTTAGTGTTCAGTTCACCTTTGTCAGATTCAGATTCAAATGTAGAAGTGAAGTTATGGGCGTTCTGTGTGTGTACAGAAGTCACTCCAGAAGGCAGGGCTGATGGAAGATACTACAGTCAGTGTGAGATATAGGCTTCGAAAAGTCATGAGTGTTTCCATGATGAACATAATTTTGTGCAAAATTCTTTTTGTAGCACAACATCTTGACGAAAGAACAGCATCTGAAAGGAAATGTAGAAGTGAAGTTATGGGCGTTCTGTGTGTGTACAGAAGTCACTCCAGAAGGCAGGGCTGATGGAAGATACTACAGTCAGTGTGAGATATAGGCTTCGAAAAGTCATGAGTGTTTCCATGATGAACATCATTTTGTGCAAAATTATTTTTGTAGCACAACATCTTGACGAAAGAACAGCATCTGAAAGGATACTTGCGTCACTGCATTATCTAATTAATTCAGTTCAGTTGTGTACACACTACTTTAATGTAAATAAAGTTGTGAATGTGCAGTTTTTGTAAGCAAATTCTTTTGTAGAAAGCGGTAAAAGAAAAAATAAAACAAAACATTACTAAAATGTATGTGTACCGAACAGGATTGACCAATATAAAAAATTGTTCAGCAAGGACACATTAAATTGATCAAACGTGACTATCGGCGCTGATTGGGACGGGCGTCCCGAGTTCGAGTCCCGGCTCATGGACCTTTCCTGATCCCACTCCCGCTCCCTCTATCTTTCTCCCACTTCGCTATCTTTTACTATCAAAGTAAAAACAAAAGAAGTTACTGTTAAAGACATTTATGATGTTACAAAAGATATTCTATTCATATGCTGAAAAAAGTATTAATAGCAGTTTCCACACAAAAAATAACCACGATAAATAAATCAGTATACCAGTATAAATATTAATTGATAAGTGTTTTAATAAAATTTTACTTGAGCACCAAATTATCATATTAGAATGATTTCAGAAACAATCATGTGACACTGAAGACTGGAGTAATTGCTGCTGAAAATTCAGCTTTGTCATCACAAAATAAAGAATATTTTAAAATATAAATTAATTATTTATAAATTATAATAAATTTCATAATTTTACTGTTTTATTGTATTTTTGGTCAAGCTTGTTGAGCATAAGAGACTTCTTTCAAAAACATTTTTTTTGCTGTAGTGTAAATAGCAACCGTGTCTCATGCTTGTTTTGTCTAAATTAAATATGTTTGTTTGCAAGTTTTCTGTCCTTCAGGGAATCATGAGGAAGATCAAACAGAAATTGTTTGATAAGCCATCTAAACACCTGTGGCAATCCCAGACTCCTTAGAGCCAGACATTACAGTTCAGTGATCAGTGTCTGCCTCACCCATTCAAATGCCTCAAACATGCCTCACTGGCTGCTCTACAGGAGAGCCTATTCAAAAACAAACCCCCTGCATACTCAAAAAAAAAAACACATACCAAACGCAAACCCAAACAGTCTGATTAGTTTCATTATCAATATATGGAAAGTTTTAGTAAGCAAACCTAAGTGTTTAATTCAGCTGACTGAATGACTCACTGAAGACTGAAGGCTATAATGTTGTTCTGACCGGGAGCTATGAATGAGATGTTTCAGTGCTGAGCACACATCCCATCTTAGAGCCCTGTTTTCAATCATGTGAAGAGTTTCTGTATCCACAATTTTCCTGTAATTTGTAATCGCTGCCCTTTCTGTGCCAAGTGTGCACTGTTACAGAGCTCTGTGGTCAGAATCACAAATCTTTAAAGGACAGTTCACCTAAAATGAAAATTCTGTCATCATTTACTCACATTCTTTGTGTTGTTCCAAACCTGTATGACTTTCTTTCTTCGGTGTAACACAAAAGAAGATATTCTGAAGATCGTTCTAGCTGTTTTCGTCCGTATAGTGAAAGTCAGTGGGATCCATAATTGGACCCCATTGACTTTTGTTATATGGACAAAAACACAGAGACATAAAGGTGAGTAAATGATGACAACATTTTCTTTTTTGGGTGAACTATCCCTTTAAGGGCATCTAACCATATGGCAGAAATTATTTGCTGCTCATGCTGCAGTCCAGGAAGTGCTAAATGCAATGTACTGGTTCTCACTGCCCTCTGTTGGTCTCACAAGCAAGAACAATTTCGTTCTTCTTTCTTTGTTTTGCAGGTTTGGAGTCTGGCTTTGTAACCTTGCCGAGACTGTCCCGCACTGAGCGTCCAGCCCAGGGCAGTTCTCCCTCTGCCTGCCCGCTTGAAATCCACAGAGGCTCGCTCACAGACACAGGTATCCCGTCCTTCCCATGTTCAGACTCCATCAGTCCTTCTGACTCCATGAACTCCTTCACTCTTGATCTGGGCCCTTCCCTCATGTCTGAAGTCTTTGCCATGATTGACAGCCCTGTGTGTGAAAAGGCCGATCCCATCAGTGAAAAAACACAGTCCACCGATGATAACTCTGAGGTGGACTCGGACACCACCACGTCCTTGGTGGACTCTCTCCTGAGAGAAGACGATGACGGTAGGACACGGTTGTATGGAGGAGAGTGGAAGCATTCAGACTTTGTAAATGGTGAGTCACCCAAAAAATCCATGTTGGGGGATCGGATGCGCTCCTTCTCTATTGAGGATCATGGCATGGAGCCGGAGAGTTTCCAGAGGGCTGCTGATGTGCTGGCACGTCATTATGGGAGTGGAGGACTCAGGAATACAAACACCAACAACTCTCATAGGAGAGGACCCTACAGCTATCCTGATGAAGAAGAAGAAATCAAAGTCTAACACCAAATCGTACATCACCTTTAAATGGATAGTTCAGCCAAAAACTAATGTTCTTTCATAATTTCCTCAGTCTCATGATGTTCCAAACCTGATTCTTTCCTTGGCGATATAATGAAAGGAGTTGCACAGAATGCCACTTTTTTCATTATAATGTAATTGAATGAGGGTTGGGCCTATCAAGCTCCATAATCATAAAAAAAGCACCATGAAAGTATCATAAATGTAGTCCATAGTTTTCTGAAACCATGTTAGTGTACAGTTAGGAACAGACTAAAATTCCCAAAAGTTATTATTTACTTATGATATTCTGTTCCTCTGGGCTGTGAACTGAATTACTGAGTCACTCGAGCACCAAATCATAATCAATCATTTAAAGGGATATTCCACCCAAAAATTATAATGATTAATGATCACCCTCATGACCATCTTTCTTCTGTAGAACAAAAGAAGATATTTTGAAGAATGTTTCAATTGTTTTTGTCATGTTAAAAGTACGACATACAATGAAAGTCAGTGGAGTTCAATGTTGTTTGGCTTCCAATGTTCTTCAAAATACCTTAGTTCTGCTAGGAAGGTTTAGAATGACACGAGTGTGAGTAAATGATATCAGGATTTTTCTTAATGGGTGGAGTGTCCATTGAAGAACAATTAAATAATACATTGTAAATGTAACAATAATGAAATCTGGTCTGTTCCTCACAGAAAGCTATTATATGACTCCAGAAGACTACCCACAACCCACAAGTCAATGGGATTACTTTTGTTAAACTTTCTTTTTTGTCATTTTGGAGTTTGCAGTTTACAGCCCAAGTTCTTATTCAGATTCATAATATGAAAAAGAGCACCAATTAAATTGGCCTAAAATTTTACTTCCACGAAAGAAGGTCATAAAAGTTTATAATCACATGAGAGTGATGACCCAGTTATTATTTTTGGATGAACTATTCCTTTTAAAAATATTTCTACATTTTGCAATGGGGAAAGTTAAAAGCTAATGAACTATTATTTACCCCTACGCTCATGGTGTTTTAAAGAAAGTATTACAAACAAAAAGAACAGAACAATAAAACATCAGAATTACCTGCCATGTGAGTGGGTCTACATTTTGCAAATATTGGACAAGAACATAATCTAGTATTGGCATCTTGAATTTTCTTCTATGTTTGATCCTATCGTCTCATCCCTGAAACATTAGCTTTGATCCAGGGAACTAAAACCTGCCACAGTTGCTCTGTAATGCACAATAAACACAGCTGGCTATACAATGGTAATATGCCATTAAAATATGCAATATTTTAGTTTACAATATTTAGATTTCAAGTAAGCCTCTGTCATATGTAATGTAGAGTGATACCATGTAGAATACAGACATATACCTGCTAGCTATCTTGTATCTACTACACAAAACACTTTACATTTTGCATTCATGTAGTTTTAATAGCTCATATTCCCATTGTGAACATTGTGTTGCAGTTTAATTATTTCCTGAGAAACAAGACAAAGACCTATGGTCACTGTGATGCACAAAACCGTGATGTGCTTTATGTTTTCACATTAGTACAAACAACTCGGAATAAAACAACAACCATACTGTCATTTTTCTTTCCTTTATTACATGATAAATATCTTAAGATCAACACAGTATACAGTAATATTATATGATGTCCACCAGCTTTTATCAATGTATTGTGAAATTATGATTAAATATTAATATGAATTTTGTTTGAATTTAAGTTTTTTGTTATGACAAAGGAGTTGACCTCTCCATTCCCTTAATCACAATATAATATGTACATACTGTACGTATGTGCGGCTTTGCACAGGAAATGTACAAAATAGCAATGTATGTTACCTATGAATGACAGCAATAAAGATTTCATTAAAAGAAGCTATGAACAACATCAGCCTTAAAATGCTTTAACAAGTGTGAGCATGATTTTATCATTATGGCGTTTCAAATGTCATGCTTCAGAATAAGCTTATATATAAATAGCTATGTGAAGCGTGTCAGTACGCCCTAAATTAAGACCAAAGGAAGTCAGATTATACTATGTTGTATTTGTGTTTGACAGTTCTTAACGGTTCAGTATCCCTAAAGCAGACATACACTTTTGTTCAAAAGTTTGGGATTTTTTACATTTTTTATTAATACCTTTTATTTAGGATGCATTAAACTGATCAAAAGTGACAGTAAAGATATTTATAAATGTAAAACAAACGTTGTTCTATTGAACTTTAATTCATCAAAGGAACAAATGTATCACTGCTTATTATCCACAAAAATATTAAACAGCACAACTGTTTTCAAAACTGATAAAAAATGTTTCTTGAGCACCAAATCAGAATATTATAATGATTTCTGTAGTATCACGTGACACTGAAGACTGAAGTAATGGCTGCTGAGAAGTCAGCACAGGAATAAATTACATTTTGAAATATATTCAAATAGAAAAGTTATTTTAAATTGTAATACTATTTATAATATTACTGTTTTTACTGGATTTTGTTCAAATAAACGCAGTCTTGATGAGCATAAGAGACTTCTTTAAAAAACATTTTTTAAAAATCTTACAGACTTCAAACTTTTGAACACTAGTGTGTTAAAACAATGCAGTTAAAAGCACCAGAAGACCAGAAGATGCTGCACTTGAGAAAGAAGGTCATAACAAACCAGTGCTTTTTCCCAGTCGACTTTCCTTTCCAGAACTCACTGTGCTGGAGAGGAGAGCTGCTTGTTCAGTGCTTGGGGGGGTTGTGGAGGAGGAACTTTAGGTCTTCTGCCTTGTGGTTTCTTTTGTGGTCCTCCTTCAGGCAACGTCGGCAATGGAGCTTGGGTGGTTTCGGGCTTGGGTGAAGGTGTTGGTTTTATTTCAGAGCCTCTCGGCAGAGGAGCAGGGAACACTCTGGCCTGGGCTGCTTGGAAAGGGCCTGCCTGGCTCAGAGGAGGGCCTTTGGCAAGGTTTGGTGCCTTTTGCTGGATAAAAGACCTCCTTGCTGCAGAAAACAATTGGAAATGTAGTTTCTACCACAGTAAGACAGCACAAAAAGCATCTATGATTACCAACATACGTTTATATGGAGCAGTGGTTTTCAGCATGGGCTCCTGGGACTGGGAGGGCAGCTCCTGAGTTGGCTCTGATTTGCTGGAGCTCAGAGTCTTAGCCTGTGATTGGCTGTGGGCTTGAGTGTAACGAGGAAGTGCTGGAGGCATGTGATTCTGTGTAGGCGGTTGAGCAATTGGATTAGAATCGATGTTGTCCCACACAACAGCATCACGGTTCACCTGATATTTCACAACGACTGTCACTCCAAGGTCCTCAGATGATGCTGAGCTGAAATAAGAAGCACAAGAAGACAAAACAAAATAAGACTTTTGTAACTTAACAAGTCTCATTTAGAAGAAAGTCTTGACCTCAAAAACTACAAAGGTGGTTGACTACCTGTCGGTTTTTGATAGGGATGGTCGACCAGATGAGAAAGGGGGAGAGGGTAAGATGCTGTCAGAAAGAGGTCTCTGGGATATTTTCGGGATCGGGCTTTCAGGCAGTTCTGGTACCTCAAAATCAGCCTCTAAAAAGAAATTAGTTATTATTTAGAATGTCACAAAATAAAACACTTTGCACTTCAGTATTTTAATTATTTTTTAATACCTATTACTTAAATATTTAAGCAAAAATAAAAACATAAAACTTCCTTATTACATAGAATCAGGCAAGGCGGGAAGGGGGTTCATGAGTTGATGAAAAGCTAAAAATGAATCATATCCAATGAAAATGAAAATAAAGGGTTAGGGTGGCACAATAATCACAATATATTGATTATCAAAACAAATTAAAGATTTAATTAAATAACTAAATAGTCTGATGCTCTGCGTGTTTCAAAGCGAGCGCTTCTTGGTTCACAGCAAATGCAGTGCACTCCATCTGTGCATGTGCTGTGAGTTTAACATGCATTTGGGAACACTAATGTGTGCTAAATTCACCTTTTTCTTACCCATTTGTATAATCTCCAACGTTTTTGTGAGAAAAAGTTTACAGCATTTCAGCAGTATTTTGCCAAAATTAAAAGCTTGAAGATTTGAAATGTTTAAAGCTTGAGGGTTCAGACATTTGAAATTTAAGACAGAAACATTAATATTGTAACTTGAAGTGAAAAATAAAATTATTATAATTACTAGCAAAATGTTCCTTTGTATTTTACAGTACAATTGAAAGTTACAACATTAATATATTTTTATCGTCATTTTTGTAATTAGAGTAAAAACATAACATTATTAATGAAAAATTGTGTGAATGTAATGTGGACTGAGACTCTGTCACAACTAAAGAGAGATTTGTGTCTACTTTAAAGACCAGCTCAAAATAAAACACTTACTAAAAAGTTAAAATTGTATCTGTTTGCATGACATGTAACCAGACTTCAGAGAATTGTAAACACGCAAACCTGTCATTAAATTATATTAACTTAAAATATCAGGGGGTACTTCAAGGAAATATTTTATGTCTAAGAGGTTTGGTTGACAAAACAAAGTTTGAGAACCCCTGGTGGGTGAACATAAATGAAATGAACATAAATGAAATTCTGGGTGTAATAAGGTCATTTATTGCTGTTTATACCTCATTAAAAACAACAGTGAACCATTACTTATGTAATGTTCCTGTACCTTCGGTGAAGAGGCTCTTGGAATACTGTATAAGTGGCTCTATGACCGTCACAACTTGCACCGAAGAGGCAGATGCCATGTCCAGCAATGACGTCTCTCTAAAAAAAAAAAGACAGTGTGACAAACAAATTTTAGGAGATTACATTTTAAATGCTTAATTTAGTCTAGATTTGTGGTTGTGTGTGCTATACTGACCCCTCACAGCGAGGCCACAGTAGATTAGGCCCAAGCACTATGGCAATATTACTGGGTGTCATCTTGTTAACCGCTTGCTGCTCTGACAAATGTGACAGGAACTGGACAAGGTATCTGATGGAGAGAGCGATACGTCAAAGATATAGAGACACAGAGTGAATGTGAGGTGTGAAAATGTGCATAAATATACTGAACAAAATTATAAACGCAACACTTGTTTTTGCCCCCATTTTTCATGAGCTGAACTCAAGATCTAAGACTTTTTCTATGTACACAAAAGGCCTATTTCTCTCAAATATTGTTCACAAATCTGTCTAAATATGTGTTAGTGAGCACTTCTCCTTTGCCGAGATAATCCATCCACCTCACAGGTGTGGCATATCAAGATGCTGATTAGACAGCATGATTATTGCACAGGTGTGCCTTAGGCTGGCCACAATAAAAGGCCACTTTAAAATGTGCAGTTTTACTGTCCGGGGTCCGGGGGGGGGGTACAAAAACCAGCCAGTATCTGGTG